CACATGCGAGCCATTCTCATCGACTGGCTCATTGAGGTGGGTATTTCGAATACAACGAGCGAGCTAAACGAAGAACGAGAAATTTTTTGATCATTTAGGGAGTTACAACATGTTTAGTTTTTGTAGTGAATCAAACCTGGATGGCATTGAACTATTCAAAATATACCACATGCTGTTTTATAAGATGCAAGGCGAACTTCAGCGACGAATGAGCAGATTTCCGCTCATTTGACCCCTGTTGTTCCCCCGTCTGACTTCTGCTCATCCTGTGTTCGTCAGGTGTGTGAAGTGCACCGGCTACACAGGGAGACGTTCTACCTCGCGGTCGATTTTCTGGACCGGTATTTAAGTCGCGCCCGGGACCTGCCCAAATCACAGCTCCAGTTAGGAGGTGAGATAACGGACAGTGGCGCGGGGCGCCATTGATGGCGCAGTGTGCAGAGCCTGCGGCTTCCGCTGTACTCTTGAAGAACGGCTGTGGTCGTTGTAGGGTTATAGTCAATTATATTCGCATCGTGTGGGTGACAAGAAAAAAAATGTCGAGCTGATTTGGCAAGTTGATGGTCTTAAAAGTGAAGCTGAACATCGGAAAAATGGTAAAAGCTGGTTCTTGCCAAGCGACAAATAGTTTGAGCAAATGGAAGCTGACTGATTTACATTCGACCACCTGGTTATGTCGCGGTCTATGTAAGGTGATGTCGTTTGCGGTCACTATGGTATACGTTTGCGGTCTCGCTCACACGGCATGTGTTCCCATGCCTGCAGGCATCACATGCCTCATGATAGCCGCCAAGCTGGAGGAGATCTACCCGCCCAAGGTGGCCGACTTTGCCTACGTCACAGACGGCGCCTGTACCCAGGAGGACATTCAGGACAAGGAGCTGGTCATCATGAAGGTATGTCGGGAGGGGATGGTGGTGGTTTGGAGAGGCGGCGGATACCATGGTGGTTGGTGGTGATGGGGAATAGTTGATGGGGTTGGGATGGCTCTTGGCTCTGTGGATGATTGGTTTCTGCTTGGCGTGTAATGTTTCGGCTGGATTACAGTTGGGTTGGTCTCTCCATTGGAATGTGGTTGAATGATTGAGGTTGCATTGGTTTCTCGCTGTGGGTTTACTATGGTGAATGGTCTCACGGCTGGTGGCGGTATTTGAGATGGGCAATCCTGCGTTGTATATGGGGCTTATCAATGCTTAGGGTCTGCTGCATACCTACGCCAATGGCAGCTGTATGATTTGTGATGGACACTGACACTTTTCCTTTCCTTCTATGCGCGGTCAGATCAGCGAAGGTATGAAACTGTGGAATTAACCATTTGTTACATGTCAACGATAAGTTTTTTGTGTGTTTGTCAGTGAGTTGATTTCCACTTTCCATTTTTAATGTTACCAGTTCACTTTTGTCAGCTGATTTTGTCCCCCTATTTTGTATTTGCATGCCTTGTGTTGGTATTTGTGCTACTAGCTGCAAGACTAATGCAGTTTTTTTCCTAATATAGCCTCAGTTTGTAACTAATTGATTATAGAGAGGCCAATTTATTTTGTTGTGCTTCTTTTCGTGCATTTTAGGAAAAATAAAATAATTAAACCCTTTGTGTCAGGTCAGTATCATTGTAAACGTATGGCGTATGCATAATATAATGTTCCTGCTCGCATACCACCAGCTGCTCACCGGTCCAAAAGTGGTGTCGAATTCCCGGCTAATTATGTAGACCACCTTTTATTCGCATTTCATGGGTCAAGGCTGTATTCGAAAGCGATATATTTTTGCGGTTATCAAACTGATCACATCCAGACGTCGTACTTCCTTATTTAGTAGACTTGGCTGTTGCTTCTTGGACTCGAGAGATCAAAGTGTAGCTGAGAAGTGCAGTGCAAGCCGCCGTCGAATCACGAAAACCCTAGGCCATCTATGCACCGAAGTATTGACACACATATTTCCCTCTGTGCAGGTGTTGAACTGGTCCTTGTCACCAATCACTCCTCAGCACTGGCTGGGCACCTATCTGCAGCTCACAAACATGGAGGAAACCAGATGCGGTGAGTAGGAACGCCTTTCGTTAGCTCAGATTGATAGGCTGTGATGCCGGACATTGGTCATGTGAAGTTCTGTCTGCTGTGAGGCATCAAAATTGGTTTGTTGATGGAACCAAATGTTCGTTAGCGTAACGTCCTACTGGCAATTATTTCATTCATTCAAACTATTGCATGCGAAGAAATATGCCTCAATATTTCATTCCATCCTAGTGTTTCACCGCGGATGCAGTATTTATACGAAGAACTGGCTTTGCTCTTCACCCGTGAGTGGTTCTTTTGTGGGAGAGCCATACACTTCGAACTCATCATACCCTACAGCACTCTATAACCCTCCCCTCTCCCTTCTAGGTGACGCGGTGCCTACCCTCCCCCTCCCCCTGATAGGTGACGTGGTGATAACTCCCTCCCCTCCCCTCCGTTCAGGTGACGCGGTGACGGCCGAAGAGTTCACCAGTCCGCAGTTTTCGGCGCTCCAGTTTGTCCAGATGTGCCAGCTCATTGACCTGGCCGTCATGGACATGGCCTCGATCCAGTTCAAGTACGGTGTGCTGGCCGGCGCCGCCTTCTTCCACTTTACCAGGAACCGGGAGCTCACCATCAGGATCTCCGGTGAGACCCAGTCGCCGATTACAAGATGCACCTGTTATAAGCTGTTTAGTTCGTCAGTTCTCTGTTGACATATCCGCTTTACCAGTAGGTACAGCGTTATTATGGGCGCAAAATGACCACCGTATTCGACGGGCCCGTAAAAACCCTAATAAACAAACAAACAAACTGTTCGCTGTTCAGGTGACATACCAATGTGAGCCAATATTTAGTCGCATTTTTAGGTTCACATGCCACCATTCGTGGATTTTTGGTCTGACTGACTTTTGGTCGCCAAAAATGGCAATTTGCAATTCAAATGTTTCATGAATATCAATGACTTTATTTTATTTTCATTCATTGATCACCTAATCGAGCGATATAAATTCCTCAAAGACCAGCTCCTGTAGTTGTTTTGTTTAAGGTCTGCACCTGATTCTCACTGTGTCACTCGCTGACCTTCCACCCGCTTCTGTCCGTCTCAGGCTACTCGTGGTTCGAGCTGTCGCCTTGCGTCACCTGGCTGGGCCCATTTTACGTGACACTGCGTGACCACCTGCTGTGTCACGTGCCGCCGTTTGACCGAGTGCCCGACACGGATCGACACAATATCCAGATCCACGCCGTCAACCTGCAGATCCTGGTGAGTGGATATGATGGTGACGGGAGAGCTGGTGGGCTCCGGGGGAGTAGGGGATTGCTGTGGAGGAGTTAGTTAAGTTAATCAATCATGGTGAGGGACGGGTATGTAGTGGGTTCGAAGTCGCTGGTCTCGTCTATTCGATGAACACTAGGATTAGGTAGAACTTCGTTTTCTAGCTGTTTCTAGAGGGAATAGACTGAATCCTCTCGTACCGATCTAGCATTGCTTCCAGCAGCTAGCGTTGCTTGTAGTATGTAGATCCCCGGAAGATTATATTCCAGACTGTTGAGCTCTTCGTGCCATTTCATGCTTGTTTTGTGTCCATGCGTTCGAACTGTGACTGACGTCCGTCCTGTCTCCCCAGGAGGAGGCGCAGAAGCGGTCTGAGGAACAGGAGGCCCAGCTCTGCATGTCTCCTCAGGCGACCGCTGAGCGACCCGACTTCCTGACCCCTCCGGACTCGGGCGGCCGGCACCGGCCCTGAGCGACCCGTCCGCACCACGACGGGGTCACGGTGGGACGTGGTGGGACCGCGGCGGGACCCGGAGCCACCGACCAGTCAGAAGCGTCGAAACGGGCGCGGCGGTGTAGTTCGCCATACAAAAAATACAGCGGCGGTCCTCATGAGGGCCGGCCGCGCTCAGATAGCACTGCCATCTTCCGGCGCGCTGCCGAACTATCAGTTGCGTGGTGGCGCTGTGGTAGTTATTTATTTGCGAGGCGAGGCGGCAGGGCCGCGGGCAGTGCGTCGGGAAGGGTAGGAATCGGCCGGCATCGGTAGAGTAGCTCTGGACGGGCATTGTCGCCGGCTGCCCGGCGGCGGTTTCCAAAGATCTCTGTCGACGGGAGGCCGTCCCGTCTGAGGGGTCCGCCATCAGCGCTCTGAGGGGCGTGTGAAGTCACTGCGCCGCGACCGAACCGGCGCAACGGTCTGGAACCGAGCAGACCGCACCGCCAGTTTTAACCGGTTTATAGCAGATCTAGGAATTTTTCCAATGAAATGAGCCCTTTTACCAGAGACGGTGGAGTTTTATCATCTCAACTAACTGCCTTTTAGCCGTGCCTCGCCTCCACCCGGCGTGCGTTTATCACAACGATGTGACACTGCCGACGATATTTGTCCCAACGAACCACAGTTCATAGCCGATTGTGTTTTTGAGTGTATGTTTGCGTGCCTGTGTGGGGAAGGAGGGTGTACACGTGTGCGGGGTGGGTTGTTTTTGTTTTATTTTCTCGCGCCGCCGTGACGCCGCGGTGGCTGCGAGCGATCTCTGTTCTGCTCACCGGGCGCCGCGCATCGCCAACCGCTGACGGTGCGTCGATTGGCCGAGCGTCGCGGGGCGACGAGAGCCGGAGCGAGAGCGCTGTGTGTAGGCGGCATTACACTGGTCTGGGCCGCGGAGTGTCTGCGTCGCGTCCCCGGTGTGTGTTCGGGGGGAGACTTGTGCTCATGGAGGGGTGAGGCTGGGACCCGACCCCCGTGTACGAGCGATTTGCTCCCTGCTGGCGTTTAAAGGGACCTCCGTCTGGGCTTTGGCCTCGAGGCGCCCTGTGTCGAACCCAGATGCACGATGGGGCCGGATGAAATCGCTGTCAACATTATGCTCCAAATCCACGTACGATCCATACATTGTCCTGAGTTTTGTGTTGTACATCTTGATCAATAAACATGAATTGTACTTACTGCTGTGTCCATGGCAATTTGCATACCCTTGGGAATGTATGTTCCCCTCTGATACGCTTCTGCTACATGTATTCATGGAAAAGTTGGTCCTGGCGGGACAGGCAGACCGGCGACTCGAGTATGCATTGGATGCGATACATAACGGTCAACATGTCGGTCTGATGTCGCCCTTGACAGAGCTCGTCAGGCACGTCAGTGACCTGACACATCGCCATGCGCTACTGGCATGAAAAGCACCGCGTACTGCACAGATCCTGGCCGAGCGCGAGTTAAACACTCATACATGAGGCACGTATGATTCGATGCGCATTGGGTAGCGAAAATACACAGCCAGCTTCTACTTGCGCGGACCTTGCCTCTGGAAGTCTCCTGGCGCCAGCGCAAACAATATCAAAACGGCCATCGCCGCGAGCCTATTCAGCGTAGGTCGCGTTGGGACCTAATCCCAGTCGACTAGACATAGTGACGTCAAAAGACCAAATACGTCACAGGACCGACGACATACATCGCTCGTCACTTGAAGCACGGATATGACATGACGGCGCATCACTCCAGCAATATCGAGACACTGACGGTCGCCGGCAGGAGCGACACGGAGAGTTACAGCACATCGGCTACAAACTTGGCACCGCGTTATTGAAATACGAAGTCACGGTGCGCCTCAACGTCATGACTGACCAATTATGCTCCGCCGACTTCTGACGTGGCGTCACAACTTACACCGAGTGATACCAGACTCAATACCTCTATTGACTAACGAACTAGTACACAAACATCATACGCAGGTTACAAAAACATCACATCCTCTGTACGAGTCCACACACCACTTCTAACAACGTAAATGATTGACCGCGTCTTACGTCACACCCGGTTGATGACGTCAGGAACATCGGGCAGCGTCAGAGCTGGCTCCTAGAGGCCCGGAAGCGCGACAGAGGCCTCTTGGGAGGTGGGGCATCGCTAGCGGCCAACGGGGGTCCGGCCGGTGTGGTGGTCGCGTCTCGCTCCTCGATCTTGTAAGAGAACACCTGTGGGGTGGATATTGTTGGGTCAGGCTCCGGAGGTAATGCTATTCTGTCAATCAAGAACCACTGTTGATCGGAGGCTAAGAATCTAACAAGTGCCAGAACCAGCGCAAATTTACATAGCTTCAAACATCACCACTCGCTAAAGCGTACACCCACCAGCCTCCCCACCACCTCCCCTTACCTTGGAGAGATCGGGCCGCTCGGGCTCGGCAGTCGGCGGCGGCAGAGGCTCCTCCTGTTCAGCAGAGACGATAGGCACGCTGTCTCCCGCGCCAAGCCAGCGCACCCGTCCGGCCGCGGTCGACACCGCCTCCTTGGCCTCATCGGCTGCCCAGGCGGCGCCGGCGGCCGCCGCAGCCGCCGCCGCCTCGTCCGAGGCTCTGGATGCCTGCGGCAGAGGGCTCCCTGGCCGGCCGTCGGACGGTTTCAGGATCGACACAGGTGTGCTTTCACGGGACCGACTGACAGCGTCCTCAGCCGCCGGCGGGGTGCCGTCCCCGTCTCCTTCCCCGCCGGTGGGCTCGTCCTTATCGTACATATACACTGTGTTAACGCCCGGCTCCCCGGAGAAGGAGACCCGTTTGCGGCGGCCGTCGCCCGTCTGTGGCGCCGGAGACTCGGCCGGGGAGGTGGGTGAGGCCGGCCGACTGTCGTCGTCACTGTCCAGCGCCGGCTCCGGAGTCTCGCGGATGATGACAGAGCCGTCAGAGTCAGAGTCGGCGGCAGAGTCGGCGGCTGAGTCGGCAGCGTCGTCCTCCCCGCCGCCGCCGTCGTCACCGTCGTCGGAGAGCCTGGCGGACACGGCCACAACGATAGCGACTGTTGAGAATACCAATATCAGATGTACTGCATTGTATCGCATTACAACAATACTCATAAGCACAATATCTATTGTCAGGCACATTATCCAAAAAAAAAACAACAACATAGAAATGGGTGCAAATTCATGCTAAATAATATAGGCGCCATACAGCCTCGTTGCTGGAGCGCCCTTAAACACCAAATCATCATCATCGTGCTAAATAATACATAAGTGCCCCTGAACGTCAATGGTGCAAAATCAAATTGCGGTGCACAAACCACTTTCGTTTGTTAGATAACAAACGTAAACTAATGAAAAAGGGGACATTTTCGCAAGCAATCAGGCATCCAGCACCGTAGTCCGTACCTGTCGAGCTCGTCCCTGAGCTCCTCCAGTTTCTCCAGCGCGTCCAGGCGAGCCATGACGTCAGTCTGGTCGGCCACCTGTTGGCGCAGCTCGGCCTCGCGCTGCTTGTGTTCGGCCACCCGGCGACGGTGCTCCTCTGAGCGGGCAGAGGGTGAGGGGTAACTAGCGCATACGATGTGGACTTGTTCATGAAGATGAATAGTGAATACACAAGGCTTTGGCAACCATGCTCGACAGGCTGACACCCCATTGATAGTTGATACTACAGAACTGAAACAACACCAAATCTGGCAGCTGGCCCTAAAATACGCACTACTCAGCACACCGATGATCCTTTCTAATGAAAATGTCGAATCTTTTCCAAGTTCATGAAAATGTGACAAAAGCTCGACATGACACAATATGCCACTAAAGTAGCTCCACTTAACGTTACCCTCGCCACGTTCCATTCTCCCTTCCAATGCAACACACTCTCACTCTAACTTCCTCCACCAGCTCCCCTCCCCCTCCCGTCTCCCCGACCCGGCAGTCCCCACCGCGTTCACTCACCGCGCCACTGTTTCTCTGCTTCCTCGTCTAGCGGCTCCCTGATCTCCTGGACGTCTTTATCAGTCTCCTGGATGGCCGTCGTCTGCTCTCGCCACTTGGTAAACAGCTCCTTCTCCTTCTCCAGGTCTGACACCGTCTTATCACACTCTGCCAAGAGCGAAAGTGGGGTTAGTTAGTGTACACCTGACTAGAAGGGGTATGATACCGTCAGAAGGTGATGGTAAGGCGATCGACCACTCACCAGCGAAAAGCAAGCGCTTTTACACGGTAGTAAATACAGTTAAAATGAAGCAAACCATGCAATGACAATAAGTACCCTTTTAAAATGCACTTGACATCACTTACTTACAGTTTACAATATCATCTATGAATAGCAACAGCCAACGTGCTAGTTTCATAACAAATACAAATTTTGTAACATACAAAATTCGGTATTGAATTGTGAATTTTCGCCATTCACTCGTGTTTCATGTTCTTCCGTTCAGGTCCGATTTCACCAAAACGATGCTACCTTTAACCTTACCCACGCTATCCCTTCCCACCCATCAATATAGGCATCAATACCTCCCGCCACTCACGTTCCAGGCGGCGGTCGACGATACCGCAGGCGGCGTGTGCACTGGTCTTCGCGAACCAGTTGTCACCAAGCAGCACCAGCAGTTCATTGGTGTGCACCAGCCGACCGGGCGCGAACGCCAGCGGTCCCAGCGGCACCGTCACCTGGTGGGACACCTGCTGTGGCAGGGTGGTGAGCCGCTCGCGCAGCGCCCGGTAGTCGTCTGCGTACTTCCGCCAACGGCGCAAGCCCTCCTCGGTGCTGGCCAGTTTCTGTGGGAGGGGAGAGGCAAGGGTGGGGTGGAGGAGGGAGTGAATGAGAGGCGCATTATGCAGGAATATGAGCTGACAAACCCACTTAGCTTATATTGGAGACTGCCATTAGGTTAACTGAGCCATCACCTCTACCCACCTTGTCCTGCTCAGAAACTAGCTTATCAAGCTCTGGGAGATCTCTTATAACTCGCTCAGCCATCATCTTATCCAAATCCTGAGGACCAGCAGCAGCTGGCTCTTCCTTTTCTGCCATCTTCAGTTTGTAGTTATTTCTGCAATGGAGAATGAGATAATTGTTATTGGTTTACACAATACCTATAGTACATGTGGCTATTACTATCTTATCCAACCTCTCAAAACTGGAGAAATTCACTTAATAAAAACATGAAAGGAAAGAAGATATCCTCCTCAGCTTGAAAAGTGGCATGACATATTGATACTTCAAATACTTTTACATAAAACAGCACTTATAGTGAGGTGCAACTTATAACAAAGGTGCCATAAGTTATACCTCACCACCCGTGTCCCGTCAAGTCAGGTAAGGTTAGGTACATTAGGTAGGATAAGGTCAGGTTAGATGATGAGGTTTTTGTATTTCTGATGGTAGTGTACCTTCTTTCAGAACTAACGATTTCATGGCCAATTATCTAGGTTGATATATGGCTTGCATGGTTCGTAAAGGCGACTTTCACCTTACTTTTCAAATCAAAATACCATAGCGGCCAGCATATACGTGGAGACCATAAAACATCCTGTTCGGACCATAAATATAATTTATTATGTTCAGACCATAAATATAATTCATTGTAGGGTCAAGTGCCAGGTCAGGTAGGTCTAAGGCCAAGGCGCTTGCGGCTCGCTCACCAGTCACCACCCCACCATTTGACTGCGCCAGAGCCCACAAATCAAAATGAAACGTGGGAGGCACGGAAGGCACACATCAAATCAGATACATTTATCATAATAACGATGATATTGCACAAATATTACAGAAATATCCATGATCAACGATCCCAATCCCCCGCGATCTCTACCACGCGCATGTGATTGATTGCTGCATTTCTGGCGCATATGAGACATATTTTAAGAAAACTACTTATGAATACTCAATTTGATGACATCATAAAACCTTACCTAGGATTTAAAAGAAATGATAAATTGTTTTGAAATTTATCTGACATACTCTTTTTGGAATTTTATTTCTTTATTTCAATCAAATTTCAAAAGTCTTACAAAATATTTAGCTAAATCTGAAATTTTGAACCTTCCTCACTTCATAAGAACAAATCAAGTCCAACGATTTCGCATTTTTCATTACGTCAGAACCTTTCGCAATTACGTTTCATTCTTCACGATTCACAATGAATTGAGGGATTGAGGATTGAGTGCATTGCAAGGCCATAGTGCATTACGCTAAAAGCATTTATCCAACATTTATCGGTATCGACATTGCCCCTGCTGGTTGCGTGCTGGTTGTCATTTATTAGAATATGAGCTCAGGTAGATATAATAAATGAAAATGCCATCGATAGCCTTGATTTGATAGCCTTGAGTTTCAATCGCATCACTGAAATGTTAGCATAATTTAGCTATAAGCACATAACAGTAGTACTGTTATCTAATATCTACTGTTATCTACTACTGTTATCTGTGCTATAAGTAATGTCATTGAATTGAATTGACCATGATATTTGTCAGTCTGGTTAAAAATAAAACATCAGTTGTAGAGGCTTACCCCCCCCCCAGACTGGAAAAAATTCATATTACTGCCGACATGTCCAGCGTAATGGCCAGATTGTGCCAAAATTTTGGTGGTGTCTAGCATAGCTGCTAAAATTTTTGGTGCTCAGGTGAACTAAGAAATTTTGGCACAAATGGACATTTATCAGCCAGGCACCACTGGTCACGAATATTGTTCAAACCAATTGTACTGTACTTACCCATCATTGCCTTCCTCCAGCAGGTAGAACTGATTACTTTTGAGCCATCATGTCCACACCAACATCGGGCGGCACAGTGTCCCGGCTGGCACTGAAGCAGACGCCACTGGACACATGGTCCACACGGGAGCACCTGGCCCTGGCTTCTGCAGTGGTGCGCAGTGGCGACCAGAACTGGATGTCGGTCAGCCGGGCCATGCGCGGCCTGGCCGACCCGGGCCGGCCGCCCGACTGGTGCTCTCAGAAGAACTGTGCCCAACAGTACACCCGTCTGCTCGAGCTGGTCGACACACCGCGACGAAAACGGGAGCGTGGCGAGACTAACGACACACCCGGCGAGAGCATCGTGCGTAAACTGCGCCAGGACAGGACGGACGAGCTGCGCCGACAGGTCACCGAGACGCGGACGGCGTACGCGGCGCTCAAGGCGCAGATCCGCCAGCTGCGCTCAGGTCAGCTGGATGCCAAGCTGGACGAGATCCAGCGGGAGATCCAGGCGGAGAAGGACGCCGACGCTCAGGAGCAGGAGCGCCAGCGGCAGTGGCTGGCCGACCGCGAAGCACAGAAGCTGGCCGTGCAGCAGGCGCTGCGCGCGCAGGTGACCAAAGCGCCGCCGCCGCCGCCGAAGCGCCGGAAGCTGACGCTGGACCGGCGGGACAGCAGTCCGTCCGAGACGGGCTCGGCGCTCTCGGAGGCGGACTTTGCCGACAGCCCGGTGTCGGAGGCGCCGGCAGCGGAGGTGAGCGGCGACGAGGCCAGTCGTGACGCCGCCGACCAGCGCCCGGCGCCGGCCTCGCCGCTGCTCACCTCTCTTCTGCGCTCACCGTCTTCAGGCCGACCGGCCGCAGCCGAGTCGAGCACCGTCACGCCGCCGGCCGGCTCTTCGACGCTGTCCCGTCTGTTGGAGCTGCCGCCCGGCTCGGCCGGTCTGCCGAGGACGAACCTCTTCCCCGAACAGAACGGGGAGACGACGGAGCAGAAGACCCCGACGGAAGTGAAGCAGGAGAGGACGGAGACGGCACCGGCGGAAACTCCGACGCCGACTCCGACCCCGACTCCGACCCCTACTCCGACTCCGACTCCGCCCCAGCGGGCCGAGCCGGCCGTCGAACCGGCCGTGACGCCTGAGACGGTGAAGTCGGAGCCAGCGCCGGCGGCGGAGAGAAGCTCTTCAAAGGAGGAGAGCAAGGACGGTGGAACGTCGAATGTTGCAGTGAGTAAGCCAGCCGTTCCAGCTGCCACGGCCGCCACCTCTGCTACCATCATTGTTGCGTCGACTACCGCAACCTCAGTCACAGCAAGCTCGACCTCTGGAAGCATCGCCAGCGCCGCCGCCACTGTAACTGTCCCTGCTCCCACCGCTGCTGCTTCTACTGGAGCCGCAGCTGGCACCAATACCGCCACCGCCACCGCTGGCACGACTGCCACGACGTCTACCGCTATCGCCAGTACCGAGACACGAGTGAGCGCTGCCGCCGCTCCATCTAAAGCTACTGAGGAGAGCGCTCCTGTCGCTGTCACTGCACCAACGCCAGACCCACCGGCCGCAAAGAAAGTCACCGCGGCTCAATCAAAAACTCAGCGAGTGTCCGAATCAGAGACCAAATCTGCCTCCGAAACAGCGCAAAAAGAGGTTAAGACTGAGCCGGAATCGGACCCGAAGCCGAAATCGAAACCTGCTGAGCCCGCCCCGATGGAGGTGGAGACGCCACAGGAGCCTGCGCCGGTGACGAGCGAGATAATCGCCGTCTCCGTCGCTGCCGGTGGTGACGGCGACGGTCCCCGAGCGCCGACCGTCCCGACGCCGGCCGTGATAAAGCAGGAGCCCGTCGAGGCTGAGGAGGAGCCGGCTCCGGCGCCGGAGCCGGCCGCCGCGGCCACCTCTCCTCCCAAGGAGGCGGCGCAGTCTGTCGAGGAGCCGCCGCCGCGTCCCCCGCCTCCTCCCGTGAAGGAGGAGCGTGACGAGAGTGACGCCGAGTCGGCCACCTCTCTGGGTCCGGTGGTGCGCGCGCGCAGTGTCTCTGCGCGCAGTGAGCCTGCCTCGCAGGAGTCTGTGCCCAGCAGCCCGGCGTCTGGCGTGCTCAGTGGCGATGACGAGGAGCGACGCGACTACAAACTCTGGAAGAAGTCCATCCTACTCTTGTGGCGTGAGTTTGCTGCTCACCGACACGCCTCCAAGTTCGCGAGGCCAATCACGAACGATCAGGCGAGTAACTACCGGGCCATCGTCAAAATGCCCATGGACCTTGCACAGCTCAAACGCAATGTGGAGAGCGGAGTCGTGACAACCACGGCGCAGTTCCAGCGTGACCTGATGCTCATGTTCTGTAACGCAATGATGTTCAACTCCACTGACCATGAGGTACACCGGTTCGCGCGTGAGATGCAGGCTGAGTGTGTGGAAAAACTACAGCTTCTGACTCAGGGAGATCAGCCAGCGAGCACGCCCATCAAACGGCGGGAGACTCGCGAGTCATCACGCGATGAGATGAAGAGGAAGAGATCGACGGACGAGCGGCCCACGCCGACCAGGAAGAGACGATAGGGGGAGACGGGGAGACGGCCGTGATGGAGACACGGAGACGGAGACTCAGAGCTGACGGGACTGCTGGTGAGTGGTGAGTGTGTACTGAGTGAGTGATGAGTGCGCACTGAATGTGTGTGAAGTGCGCACCGAATGATTGAATGGTGAGTGAGTTGTTGGAGTGGTGTTTGAAGTGTAACAGTCCTCACTCTGAGAACTTTGGGGCTGTTGTCTATTCGTTGACAGGACTGGATAGACACTGGCTCGATGTTGGACACATTTTGCGTATGGCGAGGACGATTGAGCACGATCCCGGCCCGGACAAACAAGGCTTCCTGCTCATTTCGCCCAGTTAAACTGATGTTCGTACCCGATGTGAAGCATTATTTGCATTTTCTCGCGTTCGGCTGTCAATTAGGGTAGTATCATAATCATTGTGTTGCTCTGCCTTGGATTTGTTCACACAGCCCTTCCAATACATTCATTCTACTCAATATGTGTTTAAGATTAATGAAATAATTGGCTTTTAACGAGTGCAATGATCTCTCTCTCTCTCTCTCTCTCTCTCTCTCTCTCTCTCTCTCTCTCTCTCTCCTCCCTCCTCTAACTCATTCCTTTCTCTCTCCTCTCTGTCTCCGTCTCTCTGCGATGTCATTACAATGCCCTCACCACACAGTACACACAGCTCATATGCAGGCGAGAGAAACGTCCGAAGGCAGGAGTTTATTTAGACTTGCACTTGGCAGCAGCGAAGTAATCTGCCTTAGTAACAGGGAACCAAGGGAACCCTGTGCGACACCCAGTTAGAGCGCGATACCAGCGCCGCCATGCGGTACTCGTACGTTAGCAGCGCCATCGGGCGGCTATCGCCGAAAACTCACAACACTACAGGCACCAAAGTTCTTTGTTGAGTCATAGACCACTATATACCCAAATAGTGGTCTATGGTTGAGTGGTATATAGTGGTCTATGGTTGAGTTTGTTTTGTTTGTTTTGTTGGGTTAGGCCCTTTCTGTCTGACAAGACCATTGCAGAGCTGGGAAGCTGATAGGAATAAGGGGAGACATTGGTTTGGGTATGTGCCCTAGCGAGTCACCGGGGCTGAGACCGCCCCGACCAAAGTTCTAAGTTCTTGCTCTGCATTACACGAATATATTTTCCACATGACCAACATAACACACTAAGTTCACGAATGATTTTGTACACGTCAAGGCAGAGCGACTTCCCTCATCCAGTAGAGCATCGTTCCTGAGTGGTACACCTCCGGGTTGTGCCACGGACTGTGGTGGTGGGCGCCGTGTGAGTGGTGGCTAACGAGAGTCCCCCACCACTCTGTCCTCGAGGCCGTCGTCAGAACGGGAAACATTTTGTAAGGATTGTCGTGAAGACCTGTGTTGACCCAAGGCATTCTTCTTTTGATTCCATCGTTCTTGTAAGTCCAGTTGTCAAATCTTCTGACGAGGCTGACCTCCGTCTGTGTGCCCGTCTCGTCGACGAAGCTGTAGTGTTTGGGAGCGAACCAGACGCCGCCCCAGCGCTGGCGGCCCTTTTCCGCCTGCGCCTCGATCCGGTAGGCAAACTTGTCGCTGGTACTGAGGTCACGGATGGTGTCGGCGTACCGCAGGATCGAGTAGTCATCCGACAGAGAAGGGGAGAACACATTACGGGCGAAAATGCTGAGTGGGTCCCAGCCGATTTTGGAGATGGCAGTCACAAGTAGCGTCCAGCCGCCGCCGTCGTGGCTGAAGTCGCACAGCACCGGCACCGGCAGTCCGGTGAGCCAGTAGACGCCGTCCTGGGCGACGCCCTGCCGCTGCAACTGCAGACAGGAACGGGCGCAGGCGCGCTCGGCCGGCTCCTGGTAGGTGGCCGCTCCGCCGGGCAGAGAAGTGTAACAGTCCTCACTCTGAGAACTTTGGGGCTGTTGTCTATTCGTTGACAGGACTGGATAGACACTGGCTCGATGTTGGACACATTTTGCGTATGGCGAGGACGATTGAGCACGATCCCGGCCCGGACAAACAAGGCTTCCTGCTCATTTCGCCCAGTTAAACTGATGTTCGTACCCGATGTGAAGCATTATTTGCATTTTCTCGCGTTCGGCTGTCAATTAGGGTAGTATCATAATCATTGTGTTGCTCTGCCTTGGATTTGTTCACACAGCCCTTCCAATACATTCATTCTACTCAATATGTGTTTAAGATTAATGAAATAATTGGCTTTTAACGAGTGCAATGATCTCTCTCTCTCTCTCTCTCTCTCTCTCTCTCTCTCTCTCTCTCTCTCTCTCTCTCTCTCTCTCTCTCCTCCCTCCTCTAACTCATTCCTTTCTCTCTCCTCTCTGTCTCCGTCTCTCTGCGATGTCATTACAATGCCCTCACCACACAGTACACACAGCTCATATGCAGGCGAGAGAAACGTCCGAAGGCAGGAGTTTATTTAGACTTGCACTTGGCAGCAGCGAAGTAATCTGCCTTAGTAACAGGGAACCAAGGGAACCCTGTGCGACACCCAGTTAGAGCGCGATACCAGCGCCGCCATGCGGTACTCGTACGTTAGCAGCGCCATCGGGCGGCTATCGCCGAAAACTCACAACACTACAGGCACCAAAGTTCTTTGTTGAGTCATAGACCACTATATACCCAAATAGTGGTCTATGGTTGAGTGGTATATAGTGGTCTATGGTTGAGTTTGTTTTGTTTGTTTTGTTGGGTTAGGCCCTTTCTGTCTGACAAGACCATTGCAGAGCTGGGAAGCTGATAGGAATAAGGGGAGACATTGGTTTGGGTATGTGCCCTAGCGAGTCACCGGGGCTGAGACCGCCCCGACCAAAGTTCTAAGTTCTTGCTCTGCATTACACGAATATATTTTCCACATGACCAACATAACACACTAAGTTCACGAATGATTTTGTACACGTCAAGGCAGAGCGACTTCCCTCATCCAGTAGAGCATCGTTCCTGAGTGGTACACCTCCGGGTTGTGCCACGGACTGTGGTGGTGGGCGCCGTGTGAGTGGTGGCTAACGAGAGTCCCCCACCACTCTGTCCTCGAGGCCGTCGTCAGAACGGGAAACATTTTGTAAGGATTGTCGTGAAGACCTGTGTTGACCCAAGGCATTCTTCTTTTGATTCCATCGTTCTTGTAAGTCCAGTTGTCAAATCTTCTGACGAGGCTGACCTCCGTCTGTGTGCCCGTCTCGTCGACGAAGCTGTAGTGTTTGGGAGCGAACCAGACGCCGCCCCAGCGCTGGCGGCCCTTTTCCGCCTGCGCCTCGATCCGGTAGGCAAACTTGTCGCTGGTACTGAGGTCACGGATGGTGTCGGCGTACCGCAGGATCGAGTAGTCATCCGACAGAGAAGGGGAGAACACATTACGGGCGAAAATGCTGAGTGGGTCCCAGCCGATTTTGGAGATGGCAGTCACAAGTAGCGTCCAGCCGCCGCCGTCGTGGCTGAAGTCGCACAGCACCGGCACCGGCAGTCCGGTGAGCCAGTAGACGCCGTCCTGGGCGACGCCCTGCCGCTGCAACTGCAGACAGGAACGGGCGCAGGCGCGCTCGGCCGGCTCCTGGTAGGTGGCCGCTCCGCCGGGCAGAGGAGCGGGCCGCTGCTGACAGGCCGGCTCCTGATTCTGACCCGCCTCCTGGGGCTGGCCCCCGACTGGAGTCGCCTCTGGCTGCTCCCTCGGCCGCCTCACGAGGTCCCCCTCGGCCGGCGTCGGAGCTGGCGTGCCCTGCGGTGCCTGCTCAGTCTCGACACTCACCTCCGCTGTCCCGGGCGGGCTGACCCCAGTTTGAGCCCGCTCCTGACGCCGCTCAGACTGCGGGGGAGGTCGGCAGGCGCCGACCGGCCCTGTCGACCCGTCCCGGCCGCCGCCGGCCAGCACCGACAGCTGCAGCGCCGTCACGTCGTGGACGACCGAGTCGAGCCGCAGCTGCTGTCGCGTCAGCTCGGCCAGCGCCCGGTGTCCGGCGTCGGCGCCCGCCTGCAGCTGCTCCAGCCGGCCGGCCAGCTGCGCCAGCTGCCAGCCGCACTGGGCGCGCGACACGGCGCCCTCGACCAGCGGGTTCAGCAGCGCCGACAGCTGCTCGGCTGCCGACGGCTGGTAGGAGACGGCTGGCGGCGGCTGGTCGGCTGGTGGTGGCTGCTGGGAGGGCAGCGCTGCCGCCACCGTCAGCACCGAGAGGAGACACGCCATCCGGCGGACAGCCATTTCGGCTGCTGAGTGAGCGACAGCGGGGTAGTAGAGACCTTCACTGATGCGGCGGGGAATACAGTCCAGCCAGCAACTACCACCTCGCTGATAAGAGTCCACCGGGCGCCGACAGCAAGCCGACGGCTGACAGATTCACAGCTCCAATGACCGGGCAGTCTGGGTGTGCTGTGTGATCTACTGGTGGCTTATATTAGTGGAACGGGGCTAGGAACCTCCGCTACTGGTCGTTGGACATGTGATTCCTCACTATGTGACATGTGTTTATACACAAATTGCCAGACACGACTTGGAATTTTAAGCCCGGCCTTTCCACATCAAATGGACTGGTGCAAACTGCTTTATAAACATTAACCTACCGATAGAGTGGAATTTCAAATTGCGCAATCCCACCAAATCCTGAACGTAACTCTCCTAATTATGCGATTGAATCCAACAACTAACTTTAACCCGCGCCCCGTAGGGCTACCGGCGGACCCTACCTATATACTCTGGACCCTACCACCCGTAGGGGGGGGGGGCGTTTAGGCCCCCCCCTAAGATCTCGGAAATTTACCGGCCGATTTTCAAAATTCAAACGGCGTTCGATAGTTCCACCGGGGAACTACCTTGTGATTAAATTTCATGGACCTAGGTCAAACCGATGACGTCACAGGTCAGGTCAAAGGTCAGATTTTCACCGTTCACAGGCATTTCAAGAAATGTGTTGTGAAATCGATTAAATTGGTAAGTTATTGAAAACCATCGATGGTACATTGTTCGTCAAACACACTTCGCTATCTGAGGTCACTGACACCAGGTCAGGTCACGGGCGTATCTGAGGTCAGTCCACCGGACGTCGGGCCCGGCAGGGCCTATAGGCAGCCCGAAAGGGGTCCGCTTTTGGGCCTAGCCAAGGCCAGTTTGAGGCCAGTAAGGCCAAAAAACGGAAGTGCCTGCGCAGGCCTCAGAAGGATTTGTTTGAACCTTGGGGTTCGCGGATGGGCCCCTTGCCCTGCCAAGCCACAAACGGGTCCGAAACTGGACCCCTCGGCCCCACTTTTGGATAGAGCCAGGGCAATTTGGAGCCAGACAGGACCCCAGAAGCGGAAGGACCCCTTACAGAAAAATTAGAAGGATATGCTCCGAAGGATACCTATGTTCGGAAGGATATGTTCGGGCTTAACCCTATTCCGGGCGGGGGGCCTTTAAGGCCCCCCCTTCAGGTTTTTCTTGTGCCATTGCCAAACGCAAGACTGAAAGCTCATACTCGGTGACTTTTTCTAAACATTCATTGCGC